TACATGTTATAAACAGAAGAACTGGTAATGAAAATACCCAATTTGTGCAAAATACCCGACATCAAAAAACCAAAAAAAATAAATGGCCAGCGTACTGAGTGCCGGTGCGAAGATACGTTTTTTGCATAGCTCCTCGCAGGTTTTTGTTGCTAACGGCACCGGTTTTTCCTGCAGATGTTTCTAACTAAAAGAATTAAGACTAGCCGCCAGGACTGTCAGGAAACACCCTCTTAAAACTTCAGCTTTCTAGATTTCCTGGCTCCCAAGTTAGCAACTCACTCGCAAAAAAATTCACGAACTCGCACATTTAAGCTCATTAACATCTACGTGGACGGAGACGTTCCCTTAAAATTCCGATTTTTCAGCTTCGCAAGTTCCCGAGTTAGCAACTAACCCGAAAAAAAATTTCACGAGTTCGTACGAGGGAACTATGCATACTCGAGGGCTGGGTTTGAGTTCACTAAAACCTACTTGGACGGTGAACATCCCCTTAAAATTTCAATCTTCTGGCTTCTCAGGTTTCGGAGTTAGCAACTTACTAGAAGAAAACTTTCACAGGCTTTTGCATGGGAACCACGCATTCCAGAGGCTGGTTCTGAGCTCATTAATACATACATGGATGGGGAACATCTCGTTAAAATTTCAGCTTTCTAACTTTCCTTGTTCCCGAATTAGCAACTCCCCTGCCAGAAACTTTGGAGGGCCCATACGTGGGTACCACGCTGGTAAGAGGGCCTGTTTTGGGGACTGGGAACTGTACGCGCATGAAGATTAAGTTTCCAAAGTTTCAGTCCTGTAGCTTTTATAGGCCTTGAGATGAAAAATCGGCACAGACGCACACACAGTCACAAAGACGCACAGACACACATACACAGACAATCCCTCGTCAATATGCGTCTTCTGCATTGCATAGATGCAAAAAATGCATAAAAATTGCCAAAAGGAACAATCTCTCGCACAATGAGGAGTAATTTGTTTGCGTGAGATTTTACGAAATTTGGTGAATGCAATCCAGCCTTTTCTCCTCCTTCAGCTCAACTCTGCAAGCAAATATTTTTCCAAATTTGAAAATCAGGCAAGCCAGACTGCTGAGCGCTTTTATAACATCTTAAACTCGAAACAGGCGTCAAATTTACCATTTTATCTTATATCTCGTTTTCCATATCTTGCAAAAATGATAATTCAAATTAAAGAAAAAAAACAAACCTTTGCAATTCCATGACATGTCAACTTTGTCGCATTGGAAAAATGTTTTGCTTGCCACAACTGTAAATTTGTGGTCTAACCTAAAAAAAACATATGAATGAAAACAAAAAAATTTACCTATATCCCTAAAAAGCTGGGAGCGTCCGAAATTATTTGTATGAAGTCAACATAGTTGGATAAATTCACAAGCTCAGCACTAGTAAAGCAGGTTTTTCTATTCGAAATAGTTTACCTCTCCAAATATCACTAATACTATATATCGTTACGCAATCACCTACCTACCAGTTGCTAGAAAAGCGATTAACGTCCACTAAAAATTATTATCATTAGCGGATCCAGGG